AACCCTAAAACCCTAAGGGTTAGAGGGTACAGGGTGTTTAAGGGTTCTTAGAAGGGACAAGGTTTAGGGCGTTTACCCAGAGCCCATCAGACCGTTACTTCTTGAACAATTGGGTTTAGGGTTTCGGTTTAGGGTTTAGGGTTTAGGGTTTAGGGTTTAGGGTTTAGGGTTTAGGGTTTAGGGTTTAGGGTTTAGGGGTTTGGGCCTCTTCTGGTGCCGTTGCTAGGGTTTAGAGCGGGAACCGCAATTTGGAGAACTGGCCTCGGAGGTTCAGTGGAGGGCTGTTCGAAATTTGGACTTCCTGATAGGTATCCTTATAAGGCAACCCCCCCAGACTTCATAAGTCTAGGCATGCTTGTCCACGGCCTGCTTGAATCTAGGTTTTTAGGGCTTTAAAAGGCTTGGGGCTTGTGCTCTAAGGGCACGGCGTCAACTTCGCTGGGTGATTGACAAGTTTATTGCAGGCTGTTGCCGCTGTGAGCTGTGAACTGGCAGGAAAACTCTGGTTGAAGCGCCCTAGCAGTCAAGAACCTCCTTGCTCCTTCGTACAACTTCAGAGAGCTTTGTTTTTGGTAGGACGTGTCGAAAACCCCTCAGCCCTAATCCCCAACCCTTGAAGGGGATCCTAATCTGGAACAATACAGGCGTCAGCGCCGATGTCGAGTTAAGGTTTGATCCCCTACCGAGTGCTTACCTCTAAGAAATATTCAACACACCCCTTTGCCATACCTCCTAAAAGAAACTCAGGGGATATGGTAAAATCGCTCCTTATTTTCTCCTTTGATAGGTTAAAGGTTGGGGGGTTCCCCCTTATTCTACCAGTCCTTATTTGGGACTATCATAGGGGGATACAATAATCCCGACGAAGGACTGTTAGTATAAGGGTGTTGGTATAAGGGGGAACATCCAAAGTTGAAGGTATGGGTCTGGGGTTTAGGGTTTAGGGTTTAGGGTTTAGGGTTTAGGGTTTAGGGTGTTGAATTAGTCTTAGATTACCCTAGGGCGTCCCATTCCGGCCCACCAGCCTTGGCAATCTTTCCTCGCCACGGGGCTGCAGCTCAATCGCTGCGAGCACGATTGCGTTCGCATTTCTGGGAGCAAGTACATTGCGGGCCATGCAAGAATATACTAAACCCTGTACTAAACCCTAAACCCTACAGACTAAACCCTAAACCTTAAACCCTAAACCCTAAACCCTAAACCCTAAACCCTAAACCAACGAAGTCTTCTTACTACTTTACAAAGGGCCCAAGTACCAACAGGGAAGGACTCAAGTGCAACCCAACCGCAGGTCATTCTGCAGAGCAGCACATCAGAAATTTTAGGGTTTAGGGTTTAGGGTTTAGGGTTTATTGTTTAGTACAGGGTTTAGGGTATTCTTCACCTCCTGTCTGTTGACAGGTTGAGCGGACGGAGAACAAAGATCAGGGACACGCGGAAAGGCTGATCCAGGCCAAGTTCAGTCGTGTTGTTTCCCAAAGTTTCTACGTACCCGGACCCCACAAGAGGCCTGTGGGGCTGTAGAGTAGTTACACCTTGAGTAGAGGGTTTAGGGTTTGGGTTTAGGGGGAGTCGTTACACCTTGACTTTGATTTGGACTCAGGACAAACGTGCAAGTTCTTCTGTTCAGGCTGAATCTAAGGTTTGAACCACGGGTCCTTAGTGTGGTCCCTTACCCTTGTTTATAGGGATCCGAAGATCCGAAGTATGGTTCCTTATTGTATATCGTGTATATAATATAAGGGTTATAGGTCATATAGCTAGGGACCCAAATTAAGGGCCCATACTTCGGATACCCTACAGAAAGTGGCTTCGTTCCCATGTCTCGCTGGTAGCCTGTGTTGTCTCATTTCACTCAAGACCCCCCCCCCCCCCCACCCCACCCCTGAACCCCTATGAGACCCCACACCCTGACCTTGTCATCTGCTTCAGAGACCCCAAACCCTAAACACTAAATCCGCCCAGCCCTGTTTCGCCAGATATTTGGGTCGAAAAGCCAGATCGATGAGGCTGGACACTGGAGCGTCAGAGCGCAGTCCGCGCAATTCAAGGTTCAGGGTTTAGGGTTTAGGGCTTAGGGTTTAGGATGTAGGGCTGTGGGGTATGTACGTATCTCGCTAGGTTCGCCTTGGGGTTGGTGTATCAGCTGCATGCCCTATAAGGTTGAGCAGAGTTTCGTCTGACCTGAACATACTTGGCACGGCATAGTTGTCTACACCCAAAACGGGCTCGTGCGCATGGTGCGACAATTGCTACCAGTTTGCGAACAGGAAAGGCCCAAATGCAGATGCAGGTAAGTTTACATGAGTCGTCCACGTGTGTGCAAGTCTTATATAAAGACCAGGATTTCTCGTCATGTGCTTGCAAAAAGGGGTGCTGCCGCTGTCTCCAGCCCAACCCCTGAAAACCCACACCCAGTAAGCAGCAAGAGGCCTTTCCAATGATCATCAAGGACGTGACCTTTGCACGCAGTGAGCCGGCTACCCAGTAAGCCCGGAGTACCCTCTTGCAGTGGCACGGGCTTTGCAGTGTTCAGAATTGGGTCCAGCTCTGAGGACACCCAATATTTTGGAAGATGAAGGACCCTGTAGAGGGACCTACTTCATGGACCCCAAAAGCCCTAAAAGTCCTGAAAGTCTTGAAAGTCCTAAACGTCCTAGACCTCCAAAAACCTAAATCCTAAACCCTAAGCCCTGACCCCTAAACCCTAAACCCTAACCCCTAAACCCTAAACCCTAAACCGCAGCTCCTAGACAAAATCCCTAAATCTCGGGCTCCGCTCTCTGAGGCTGGGACTAGTCAAGGATCCTGCCATGACTCCAGAGGAGGCGATGGACGCATTCAGGACCGAAACCCCTAAACCGTAAACCCTAAACCCTAAACAATAAACCCGAAACCCGAAACCCGAAACAGAGTGTCCGGGGCTGGGGCGTTGGGATCTGGGACGAGGGGGGGCTGGGTTTGGGGATTTTAGGGCCCAAGTTTAGCAGGCCAGCTCCTGGTAGCCCAGTGGTGCCCTATTCCCTGTTTTTGGTTCTGGTTTCCCAGAGAAATTTTTATAGTAACCAACCAAAAAAGGGGTGCCCTTATTTTAATATGGTTACTGGGCTACTAAGCAGGCCAGTAGGTAAGCTTCAGCTGTTGTGGGTCTATCAGAACCCTTCATTAAACAGTTCGAGGCTGACCCCCCCCCCCCCCCCCAAGCAGAGTATAGGAGTTGGGGTTTAGGGCTTGGGGGGTTTTGGGACTTAGGGTTGCTTACAGGGTTTAGGGCTGAGGGCTTGAGCTCGGCGAGTGCCGACGACGTTGGGGTTGTCAGGAAGTACCAAGATAATAGCTTGGGGGGGACGGAACACCTAAACTATTTGCTTAGGAGGCCCCTCGAAAATCAAATGCACTCTTCCTTATAAGAGTAATATGGGGATTATTGTTTATTTTGTTTTTCGATTTTTTTTTTTTTTTTTTTGGGGGGGGGGGGGGGCGAGGGGGCGGGGATGTCCTTAAGCAAATAGTAACAAGCATAATCAGTGTCTGGTATAACTGTTAAAGGGCGCTGGTTGGGGTGTTGTTTAGGGTTGGAGTTTAGAGTGTGTTTATAGGAGTTGATAGATGGAGCAACGGCTCTAGGGCATTTGCCCCGCGAAATCTAATCCTCGTTCTAAACTCTTGCCCGATTCTGGGTTTTGTGCTGCAGTTCTGTGGAGAAGTTTTCAAAGGTCATTTCCTTTCCAAAAACTAACCCTGAACCCAAAACTCCCTAAGGACCCTAAACCCTGAACCCCCTAAACCCTAAAACCCTATAAACCAAAAAACCTAAAACCGAAACCCTAAACCCTAAACCTTAAACCCTAAACCCTAAAATCCCTAAACCCTAAACCCCGAATGAGGACGAGGGGCCCTGGAGGCCCCAGTGGCCCTCTGCCGCCCTTCCCATTCCCAGGAGGCGCTGGGAGTGGGAAGGGGGTTTAGGGTTTTGGGTTTGGCGTTTGGTTTAGGGGTTTAAGGGTTAGGGTTTAGGGTTTAGGGTTTAGGGTTTAGGGCACAAGTCGAACTATTGCTTGAGGAGGGTTTGAATGTTGTAGTTTTAAAGGTTATCACCATGGTGGGGTTTTGTTGGTGCAAGGTCGGATCATGTCGAGAATTAGCAAAACGAGCGGCTAGTACTAGTAGGCTTCTTCGTGATTCTTAGGATAGCTAATGCTAATGTTCATGGTTTTCCTTGACTAGTGTGTGGTATGTCACATTCTTGCAGCATGCTATGGTTTGCGCTCGCCCCGCAATATACCATCCGTCATAGTATACTACCGCGTGTTACGATACGTTGTGGTATATACGCACCAGTATGTTATAGTATTTTCTCCCGCCTACGATGGAGAGAGGAGCGCCTTGAGCGCTTGCTGCTGGGAGCTGTAGCAGTACTTGCAGGAGCATCGCCTGGGGCTATCGCTGAAGTCTGAAGTTGCAATGGCATGCGTGCAAGTTAGCGACAGTGCAGATCGGGGGCAGGTGCTTGTTTGTACCCAAGACATACCAGCTGGTCATCTGATGCTTGTTGAGCATCCCGTGTTTTTGGCTAGAGCGGCCAGCTCCACCATTTCTTTTGAGGTTTTGCTTGAGTGGTATGACGCGTTCCAAGATCTTGACCGGACTGTGCAGGAGGATATTTTGTCAAACTTCTTCTGTCCCATGGAGAGCAGATATGCTGCTGAAGTCGCCCGATTCTTGCAAAGCAACGCAATAAGCACTGATGCGGATAGAATCTGTCACCTGGCGGTGATCATGCATTTCAATGCTGCCGCAGCTCAGCCGGCCAAGGAGGATGGAAGTCAACCAGACCCTCGCTACAAGGACCAAGCTGGCCTTTACCCAACCATGTGCAAAGCCGCACACTCATGTGCTCCCAACGCATGTTGGTGCACCGTGAAGTCAACTGGAACGAAAGAAATGCGAAGCATCGTGCCCATCACCTCTGGTAGCGAAGTTATTTAGCAGAGCGCGAAATGTTGCTACCAATAGTTGATCGGCGCTCACTTCTCGAGGAAGAGAGGGAATTCCAGTGCTTGTGTGCACGATGTGCTGAGGGCGTGGAAGACTTGCGTGTTTTTCGGTGCGCTCGTGATGGATGTGCTGGAGCTTGCAAAGTTGTCGGCCAGCTACTAGGTCACTGTTGCAAGTGCGGCGTCGCTCCGGGACGTGCAAAGGCCGAAGCACTATTTGCTTCGGAGATGGAGCTAGAGCAGCTTCTCAATTTCATCGACGACGTCCTTGACAATGGGAAGCAAATCGATGTGTCTGGCGATGTTTTGTCACTCTCATTAGGGGCCTTGCATGAAAACCAGTACTTGGCTGGTCGTATTGCCAGAGTCCAGTATGAGCTGTTCCTGCAATTTGGGCACCTTGAGAAGGCAGTTGTTGCGCTAGGACAGACCATACGCCTGTGGCAGAACATTCGGCCCTGTCGCGAAACTGCCTTTGAGTTGGAGAGGTTGGGAAACTTGTACAAGAAACTTGGCAGGGACACTGCTGCCACGAAGGCATATTATGATTCATTTCGCATTCTCGCACTTACATCAGGCCTGGAGAACGCTTATGTTAGGTGCGCTGCGCGACTCTGCGCCCAAAGTTTGTTGAAAGTTCCCATGAGAGCGAGTGCACTGTCCGGTTTTGAAGGGAAGGCGGTTCTTGTCGTCGGGCTTGCGAAGAAAGCCGTGATGAACGGCTGCATTGGCTCGTGTGGAAGTCTCGAGATCGATCGGTTTCCTGTGAGGTTTAACTCTGTGGACACTGCGGGCGTGAAGGTGAAGGCTGTGAACCTGAAAGTTCTGCCAGATGGACAGCTGGAGCCCGGCCAGCTGGCCATTATCCACGGCCTGTCATCAGAGACTTAGCAGCCCAAGGATACTTTTTGGTTCAAGGTTCCCTTACAGTAACCCAGCCCAAACAAGGGTGCCCTTATTCGGAATATGGTTGCTGTGCTACCAAGGAGACGGGGAGATTGCTGAATGGCATTGTGGGAACTCTGGGGGCTCCTTGTGGTCAAAGGTGCTCAGTTTCTTAGCAGCTAAGTGAGCACGCTTTGCACTTTTTGGGATACTACAATCCCCTAGAGAACGGAAATTGTGCACTTTCTTGGGGCTTATGAACTCAGCAAAGGTTTTGATGGAAGGCCAAGGGTGGAAGAGTATAAAGCAAGAAAACTTGCATCGCTTACCTGCCATTCAAGAATGGTTCGAGTTGAGTGCTGCAAGTCTTTGATTGGTCCATGCCTGGCTGAGCTTAAGAAGAGGCTGCAGAGTTGCATGGGGAGCAGAGGGTTTGGGGTTTAGGGTTTGGGGTTTAGGGTTTAGGGTTTAGGGCGAGTTTACTCACGCCGCTTCCCGGCGAGAGCTCTTAACGACTTGACACCTCGTACCTCCTGAAGTTGGGGACCCCAGTCCTCCCTACGAGCCCTTGCCATCTGGGACTCTACGAAAAATAGGAGTTAGGGTTTAGGGTTTAGGGTTTAGGGTTTAGGGTTTAGGGTTTAGGATTTAGGGTTTGGTGGGACTTTACTACAACTTTGTCACTTTATACAAGTTTAGGGTTCCTCTAATTTCATATTCAGGGAGCTAAAAGTTAAACTTTTGTTGGGGGTTGAAGAGCAACCAAGAAAATAGGGGTACCGCTTTTATGCCCCAAATACAATGGGAATCCCCCTAAAGGGACCCCCCAAAAAAGGGCACTCCCTAATATCGTACACCCCCATTTCGGTCTCTCTTAGGCACATGGCTTGGAGGAAGAGGAAGCTCTCAGAAGGAGCCGTTTAGGGTTGTGGGAATGGGCTTTTGAGGGATGAGGGAGCCCAGGGATTGGGTAGGAACAAACCCAACAGGGAAGGGTTTAGGGTTTATAGGGTTTATAGGGTTTATAGGGTTTATAGGGTTTATAGGGTTTATAGGGTTTATAGGGTTTATAGGGTTTATAGGGTTTATAGGGTTTAGAAGGGTTTATAGGGTTTATAGGGTTTATAGGGTTTAGGGAACCCCTAAGCCCAAACAGTGAACCCTATGAACCCTATGAACCCAAACCAAACCCAAACACTGAACCCGATTCCCAAACAGCCTAGGAATCCTATGAACCCTACTTGGAGGTTCATGTTACGTATCAACCAGTTATAGCTGTACTTATATCCTACTTATAAGCCCCTTATCTGCCCTAATATGGTTATGAGTACAGTCATAAGTACACGTATAATTGGTTAATAAGTCCCATGAACCTCCAAGTATGAACCCTCAACCCGAAACCCTAAACCGTAAACCCTAAACCCTAAACCCTAAACCCAAACCTTGGCCGTTCAGGTCCGCCTCCGCCTGGTGCCCCGCCTTTTTTCCCGCCGATGCCAGGCTCGCGTCCCAGGGCTCGTTTGGGGACTCAAAAAATAATCGGTTTAGGGTCTAGGGTTTAGGGTTTGGGGTTTAGGGTTTAGGGTTAATCCTAGGGGTCCTAGGTTGGTGCCCTAAATTCTCATACAATAGAGACACCCAAAGAGGAGCCCAAGATAGATCACCCCACCCGCGCCTCCCCCCCCCCCCCCCCCCCCCCCCCCCCCCCCCCCCCCCGCCCCCTCATGCCCCTGTACGACTTGAGCTTGCAGCTTTTGCAGCAGAGGCTGTTGCAATTTTTTCAGGACCCTCAGCACTTGATGCAATCCTTCAGGCTTGCTGTGCTTCTGGAAGATTCCCTAGATCCCCTCCGAGCAAAACGGTGACCGGAGAAGAGTAACCCTAAGTCGTATATCCTAAACCCTATAACCGCTACACCCCAGCCCTAGGCCCTTTGAAAATGTACTTGTCTGTCCCTGGCGCGAAGCTCTGAAGCCAAGAAGGGAGTCCCTATCCATCCCTATCCATCTTTATATGGGCGGTTTAAGATTTAGGGTTTGGGGTTTGCGAACTTAGGGGCACCTTGTTGGGGTCCTTTTTCTCAGGTGATCCTACTATTGGTGATCTATTTTCATGGTCGCTGATTTTCGTAAACCTCCATATCCTAAGGCCTCCCTAAACCCTAAGTCCTAACACTCCAAGAGATTTTCCCCGAACGCCTTGTCAGCGAGCAGGTATGCCACCGCTGGCAGCTCAGGGCTCTTTCGTTTTATGTGTAGGGTTTAGGGTTTGGGGTTTGGGGTTTGGGGTTTAGGGTTTAGGGTTTAGGGTTTAGGGTTTAGGGTTTAGGGTTTAGAGATACGGCAAGCATCTGGAGTCTCAGGGCTACTCTTCGGCTTGCAACAACCTAACACAGGGGCCCCAACAAAGCTGAAGGGGGTATTCTCTGGTAGCTTACCTTGCTAGGATGCTTTAGGGTTTAGGGTTTAGGGTTTAGGGTTTAGGGTTTAGGGTTTAGGGTTTAGGGTTTAGGTGCTAGGATGCCCAGTAGCGACCTTATCCCGTGTTTTGGAGGGTTAAGGTTCTCTTGTAAACCTCTAAAAGCAAAAAGGGCACCCTCTTTAGTCCTAGCTTGCTAGGCAAGCTGGCTTGTAGAGTTTTTTTCAAGAGGACGACAAGGCCCTTGCAAGCCCTAAAACCCTAACACCCTGAAACCCTAAAACCCTAAAACCCTCAAACCCTCAAACCCTAAAACCCTCAGCCCTAGAATCTAATTGTTTTGGCTATGAGCTTCTCAGTCGGGATTCCCCTGGAAAGCTGCAGGTCTTCAGCCCTAAACCCTAAACCCTAAACCCTAAATCCTAAACCCTAAACCCTAGACCCCAGGTGCACAATGTACACTAAGGTTCTGTTTAGGCCGGCGGCAGACGAGGGTGCCCGAAACCCTAAACCCTCAACCCCAAACCCTAAACCCTAAATCTCCTAGAAACCCTAAACCCTGAACCCTCAACCCTCAACCCTAAACCCTCAACCCTAAACCCTAAAACCTATCCCCACCGCGGCCTTAGATCTGGAATCAAGCGGGAGAAGTTCCGCAAATACGGTTCTCCTGATGTACCCACTGACGCGAACCGGCATCTCCTGCATACTGACAAGCCATCCCTACGCAGTGGAAGCCCTTAACCCTAAACCCTAAACCCTAAACCCTAAACCCTAAACCCCAAAACCCTAAACCCTAAACCCCCAGCCCAAAACCCTAAACCCTACACTGCCTCCCGTCGGCGTCCTCCCCCCCAGGCCCGGCGTGCCTCCCGGCGGCCCGCCCCCTCCGGGGATGATGACGATGCCTCCGCCCGACACCTCAGGGGCAGAGTTTAGGGTCTAGGGTTTAGGGTTTAGGGTTTAGGGTTTAGGGTTTAGGGTTTAGGGTCTAGGGTCTAGGGTTTAGGGTTTAGGTTTTAGGGTTTATAGGGTTTAGGGTTTAGGGTTTATGGGGTATCCTTGAGGGTTTCTCTGGTGCTTGCGGCTGGGCTTGAAAACACGCAAGTTGCTTAGGGCTGAATCAGGATGTACAGTAGGTGTCATAGGGTTTAGTTCGGGCTTAAGGGTATTGCTATGAGGAGCCTTATGATTATGATCAGCAGCTATATGTTTGATTACGGTTCGCAAGAAGAACGCTATTCATGTTATCGCTTTCATCTATATGACACTGACATAAGTGGTGCTTTTTTGCCAGCATCATCTAGTCATTGCTTAAGAACCCCCCAAAAATAAGAGATGTTCTTCCTTATAAGGGTAATCTAGGGGCTATCATGTTTTTTTGTTTTAAATTCTTTTGGGGTTCTTAAGCAAATAGTAGTCATTGTTAGCATTGTTGTTCGCAGTTCCCTAAGGGTCCATGTACTTTATGATTGTATACTTGGGCCCCAAAGTCCCTATATAGGAAGTACTTTAAGGCCCAAGTATTCCCCATTTAGGTACATGGACCCTCAGGGATTATGCTCATCATGATGTCACTGCTGAGGGGTTAAGAAGGGCTAACGGGGGGTTCGGGCTTCTTCTTCAGATGGTTCCAAAGCCCTCAACCCAAATAACCTCTCAGGGCTATTGAAAAGCCGTGCTTTTAGCCTAGTTTTTTTTTCGGGGAGGGGGAAGAGTAGTATAGGATCCCAGAAGCCCTAAACCCTAAACCCTGAACCCTAAACCCTAAACCCTAAACCTAAACCCTAAACCCTAAACCCTCAGCTCAGGCCTGGGATGATGCCTCCGCTTCCCGGCATGCCACATGCTAAGCACAGCCTGCTACGGGTGCTTCCTTTCTTGTGTTTAAGACTAGGGTTTAAGACTAGGTTTTAGGGTTTAGGGTTTAGGGTTTAGGGTTTAGGGTTTAGGGTTTAGGGTTTAGGGTTTAGGGTTTAGGGTTTGGGGCTTTTTGGGGGGAAGGAGATGGAAGTTTAGGGCTTGTATCGTTTTAAGGCCTTAGGGTGTAGAAGGGCTGTTTTGGACTCTAGGGTTTATAAGGGCTGTTTAGGATTTGAGGTTTACAAGGGCGTAGGGCTGAGGGTTTAGGGTTGGAGGTGGGAGGGGACTCGAATACCGAAAGGTTTCACCATGCTTCCTAGAGCCCTGAATTCCAAACCTCTAAACCCTCAACACTTAGACATTCCCGGGCAGGCCCTTGGGTTTTGTATATGTTCCCAAATTGGGTTTAGGAGGATCGTATTCAGGAACATTTTTCAGAGGTTCAAGGGGCCAACACAGATTCTGATCCCCAGCCAGAACTAAATCTTTCTGACTCCGTCTTTGGGGGGGAGGAGGTAGTTTTGGTGGGTTGGGGGGGTGGGCGTTCTGTATTTAGAGTTCTGGTCTTCCCCGTTTTGTTGTTTCCTTTTGCTGTGGGGAGGGGAGGGGTGTGGTGGTGCTCCAATCCATGATTCTGATCTTAGGGAGTACCTTAATCCCTAAACCCTAAACCCTAAGTTACCCTTAACCCTGAACACTAAGTTGTAAACCCTAAACCCTAAACC